GACGGCCTGAAGAACCGTTTGGTTTGCTGGGGATGGTGCCACCTGGGGGCTGTGGAGATGGCTTGGGGATCACATATGGGGAGCTGTACTGTAATGGCTTGGGACTGCGATTGCTGTAGTGGCTTTGGGGCTGCGGTTGCCACGAGCAGCTTCGTACTCAGGACTCCATCAGTGGACAGTGGATAGATTTTAACCAACCAGACTTCTTGCGGAAACTGTGATGAATTTATTGGTTGCACAATTGCACTATTTGTCCTTATTGTACACAGTAATAGAAGGGATTTATTTATAATCGCACTAGCCGTTGCACCCAGATGAGGATGGGTTCCCTTTTGAGCCTGGTTCCTCTCAAGGTTTCTTCCTCATATCATCTCAGGGAGATTTTCCTTGCCACCGTCGCCACTGGCTTGCTCATTAGGGATAAATTCACAGTGATAAATTCAAATATTTACAATATATTTCTTGTGAATCCATTTATTTCTGTAAAGCTGCTTTGTGACAATGTCCATTGTTAAAAGCGCTATACAAATAAAACTGAATTGAATTGAATTGAATTGAATTGAATGTGTAACGTAAGTGACTAAAAAGCAAAGGAACATTCTTTGCACTGACTTACCAGTCTAGTGGGAAGTGTTGTGTTGTGTTGTTATAGGAAAATAATCACAGCCCAAGGCTGGAATACACACTGGACGGGATGTCAGTCTATTGCAGGAGGGCACCACATATTAATTCGCAATATAGTGTATCTTCCCCAGTCCAACTACAGGAATGTTTGTGGGAGGTGGGAGGAAACTGGAGAACCTAAAGGAAACCCATGTGAACACAGCTAAAATGAGCTCAGGATCAAACTGGGGATTCAGGAGCTGTGATGCAGCAACCCTACCAGCTGCACCACCTCAAACCAACAATAATCTATAGACCAGAGGTGTCCAATCTTATCAACAAAGGGCTGATGTGTGTTCACACCCAATTCCACCTGTATAATCAGTTGATCTTGGCTTTCAGTAGACACAGGTGTGGCTTCTGTTTGGTTGGAATGAAAACCTACACCCACACTAGCCCTTTCCAGATAAGATTGAACACCCCTGCTATAGACTTTTAGTTTATGAATCCTCAAAGATTCTATGGATACTTTTTATCACTGCACTTCCAGCTGTTGAATGAATAAGCTCTGAATAAGGGCATCTGCCAAATGACTGCAGGTAAAAGCAATATAAATGTTGATGCGACTGGTTAAGAAAGAAACACACAGTACAATAATTGATATGGTGAAGCTTTCTGTATGGAGACGTTTAGTTCACATTTATGGAAGGAGTCTCTAGTGTAAGAGCTTTGTAACAGTCAGTACGTTTTCTGCCACAGGAAAGTCTTCAGAACAGAGGACTTTGTGCTTTGCAGCTTCTTGGTAATATGACAATTTGTGTGTTTTTATTATTATTATTATTATTATTATTATTGGTCCCTGGAAGACTAGTGGTTAGGCCACAGGACTCTCACTGCTGCGGTCAGGGTTCAATTTCTGACCAGGGAACTGACCCCAGCCACTGGGGTTGCTTGCAACAGTGTACTCTCAGTGCCGCTCCAAAGCCCGGATAAAACTGGGGAGGGTTGCGTCAAGAAGGGTACCTGGCTTAAAAACTGTGTCAAATCAAACACGCAGACCAATGATCTGCTTTGGCGACCCCTAACGGGAGCAGCCGAAGGAGGAACAACAACATATTAGTTTTGTTTTTTTTGGTCTTTGAGAGAGAGAAAATAAGAGAGGCTGGTGAGGGAACTACTGCTTAAAACACTTTGGGATGTGGTGTTATTGGAAAATAAATAAAATCAACTTCAGGGTTATAATGGCCTGACTCAAATCCCACCAACCCAATAACAGCACAGCCCCTTATGTTTAATTCCTAGCTTAATGTAAAAGACAGTACAAGTATACATTAATACATCGTCATGAAACAACTTTATTGGACATGTGCATTAACATTATGCAATAACCAAGTATATTTTAAGGCACCAATGGACTGACAGAATTTACAATTTGTTTGAAAAGATAAAGGCAAAATACTCACTCCTTATGTAAAACGTATTCAGTTAAAAAAAAAAAAAAAAAAAAAAAAAAAAAAGACTACCATAGAACTGCTTGTTTTCATTCTTCACATAATTTTGCTTAAAGTTACATTAGAGCAAACCTTATACATGTTGCATATGCTTGTACAATTTGGACAGAATATGTCATAATTAGAACATATGAATACTGACACCAGTCATTAGAAATGTGTGAGATGCTAAAAGGCATTTTTATAATGCGTCACTATGAAATAACTTTCAATCAGTAGGTAATAATGTTTGAAATCGAGCTGCTTGTTGTTGTTATGCATTGTACACATAAGAATGTAAAGTGTTTGCGATCATGTTATATTTATTGTGTGGTGCTGAGTCATGGAAAAGAGAGATAGCTTTTATAGATAGATTTTTTTTTTTAGAAAACAAAAATCGCAAGAGCCCTTGAGCCTTACAGGCACTGATAATGTAATCTAAACAAAAGAGGTGTATTCATAATTCTATGTCTGCTGTTGCTCATGATTCAGTATAAACAACCGGTTCCTCAAGTTTGGTCAACATACCAATTATATCTCATACAATACACTACAGTTTTTGTTGCAGTTTAAAAACAAGCAGCGTAAAAGCAATGGCACCCATTTAGTCTACTGATATCCAAGAAATGTTTGTTGCAGAAAAAAAGATATCAAAAAGCCTAAGACACTTAAAACTTACAATTCTATATATGGCTTTCTTATATGACCTGGAAGGCTCGTTATGTTTCATGTTTATGTTTTACCAGACTGTATACATGACAACCAAATAAATGTCCACCTCTTTGCTATATTCAATCATTTTGCTTCCTGGTCAAACATAAATGCAATACTAGAACATGCAGACACATAAAAAGCCAAAAAAAAAGGTAAGTAATTTAGTGTTTTAAAACCAATAGCCTGAGAATTATTTGACCTTCTATGTCTGCACACATCCTTTATTTTTACTGTAATTAAACAATACATAGAGTCTTCTCTTTTAAGGTCAAATTACAGAACACAACATAAGAACAACGCATTTTAAAACTATATAAAACTTTTCACAAAAATAAAGAGGTTAGTGAAAATGTGGTCCAGCTGCAGAGTTCACTTATGAAGTGAATGAAGGGCGACTAGTAAGACGTGTTTTTAAGGCCTCGTCGTTTCATCTATTGTTCAGATAGAGAGAGAGAGAAGATGAATAAGATGATTCAGATGATTAACCAGGAACGGATGAATGTACATACAAATATATCAATGATTTAAAAAGGAGAATATTAAAAAAACACAGCATGGATGTACCTCAGAAGAGTGCACAGGATTTGGGAGGCCGGAATGGATTATCACTGGATGGAACCCCCACAAGCAAAGGGTCCATATGGGCATTTTGCAAGCAGAATGTCTTCAGCTCAGCCGCAGCTTGTGAAACCTGAGGTAATCAAAGAGCAGCGGGACAAACGTTTACACCCTCATTGTTTCTGAGCAAAAAAAAAACTAAATACCTCTTTTTTTACAAACTATGTGGGGAAAAAAAAGAAAGTTAAAAATTGAATACAGGTGCATCCTGCAACAAGACATAAGAAGTTTGGTCAGAAGGCACTGATAAACTTTCCATATCAGCAACTCTAACAAGTATCTAGTGTCAGCTCAAAAAGACAAATTATGATTACAAATTACAAATTTATATTAAGATGTTCATTCTAATGTGGTGTTGCTTCTATAGTAACAGCTAAGTTACAGAAAGTCATATTAGACACGCCACATAATCTAAGGATTAAGTGCATGTTATTTGACAAAGAAAACATATACAGTCAGGTCATAAGTAATTTTGCCTCTGTATGCCACCACAATGGATTTGAAATGAAGCAGTCAAGATCCGATTGAAGTGTAGACTTTGAGCTTTAATTCAAGGGGTTTAACAAAAATGTAAAAAAAAAAAATGGAGTCCCTTCCGTTTTCACAGGCTCAAAATTAATTGGACAAACTAACATAATCATAAATATTAGGATTTAATAAGGGGATGCAAATCCTTTGCACTCAATGACTGCCTGGAGTCTGGAACACCAAATGCTGAGTTTCGTCCCTTGAGATGCTTTGCCAGGCCTTTACTGCAGCTGCCTTCAGTTGCTGCTTGTCTGTGGGTCTTTCTGCCTTCAGGTTTATCTTCAGTAAGTGAAAAGCATGCTCTACTGGGTTGAGGGCAGGTGACTGACTCGGCCATTTAAGAACATTCCATTTCCAAGCTCTTGGGTTGCTCTCGCTTTGGGTCATTATCCATCTGTACTTTGAAGCACTGTCCTATCAGTTTTCCAGCATTTGACTGAATCTGAGCAGAAAGTACAGCTCTATACACATAAGAATTCATCCTGCTACTTCAGCAGTCAAGTCATGCCCATGCCCTAACACTGCCTCCACATGTTTGATAGATGAAATGGTGTTGCTGTGAAGGGGTCTTTCTTCACGAAAGAAAGAATTCTGCGATCATCCACTTTAGTTGTCTTTCGTGGTCTTCCAGGCCTTTTGGCGTTGCTGAGAACTTCAGTGCATTCCTTCTTTTTAAGAATGCACCAAATTGTTTGATTTGGCCACTACTAAAGTTTCTGCTATCTCTCTGATAGGTCTGTTTTGTATTTTCAGCCTAATGATGGCCTCCTACTCTTGCATAGTACTTTCATACTATTTTGCTACACAATCAAAAGTATGTACTTTTTCTTCACAAAAAGTGTACATACTTTTAGTGCATAGTACTAGCGAATTATTAGTACTAGTAATAGCGAATTGACACGAATGTGTTTTCAGTGCAATGTTTTTTTTTTCTTTTCAGTAATTAGTCAGGGGAAGCCATATTGAAAAGATGGACCAGCACACCACAAACTAAAAGTCTGAGGAAGAATAAAAGCATAACATAACAGAGATTGAGACAACATAACAGAGACAAGTGGTGTAGTACACATTCAGCACTGTGGAATGCAGTGAAAATGACATTTTTGATACAAGTTATCAGAGAATGTACAGAAATATTTCTTTTTGTTTTGATTTGTTTTCCACAAGAATGTTCACATGAACATCTCTGAACACACTATTGTCTCTGGCATAGAATAAATGTCCTCATTTTCTTCATGTTGTTCTAAGGATAGGCAGTTCGCACTTTTTATAGCTTTTTTTGCTATCTGCTGTTGCTATAAGCCTGAGCTGTGGATGCTCACAGCCATGTCATGGTCACAAGCTTACAATCGACAAAGGGCTTCTCTGTTCCCAGGGAGGAAATACCCGGATGTTGGGTTACTTTCCCCAGTTACTACTAATAAACATGTTTCATTTGGAGAGTTGCATGGTTTTAATGAAAACACATCAAATTGAAATTAATATTTAAAAAAAAAAATAATAATGTTGAGATTATGTGACAGCTGGTATCTTAACCTTGTATAGAGACGCCAATTAAGTAACTCACACGATAATAAAACCACGATAAAATTAAAAAGTGGGAATGGAGCAGGACAGGTGTATGTAACTGTAGCCTGAAATAATTAACATTCGCTTATAGTGTCAATAATACGGCCGCGTTGTGTTTGAGTAGCTATGTCCGGCTAAAGAAATCAACATTTAAAGTATAGCATTTTACATTAGATTCAGGCTGTTAATGGTGAAACGAGAAGTTTAACCAGTCACACCCTCACAGCCGGGTCATTTCCTCACTTTTATCGAGCTAGTTTACAAGTTTGTTTTCAGACTTACCTTAATTCTGGGGACGCTTGCCTCAAGCCGCAGCTGTTTGACAGCTTTCTGGGCGAGAAGCAGGTTACTGCTGTTGGCGCTGTTGTTGGACATTTCATTCAAATGTCTGCTCCGAAGAAACACTGAAAGAGTGAAAGAGTGCACAGAGACAGACTCTGCTCCTGAGTGGCTCCACAGCGCCTCTCTGCACAGCACCACTTCTCTTTCCAGTCCAACAGTTTCCACCAAGACAGAAGAATCAAACAGCAAACACACACCATGTCATAGGTCTGCTTTGCAAAAACCTCATTCTCTCCAGAATCAGGACCTACAACTGTAAAGAGCAAGAACAAAAATAATCATGTCTGCCATCCTGTTTTCTCCTTGTAAAAGGGGCTCCATTCACTTCTGTCTCTTCGGCAACCTGCAAAGATTAACTTCATAATGGAAATAATACTGTTTAAACAAAATTTTGCATGAATTTCTAGTAAGTAAGGACTAAAACATATGTGGGGTGTGCTGTCACAGGAAACTAATCAATGACAAAGCAGACAAAGGTGATGCTGCGTCTCAATTCGCTTACTATCCATCCTAAATAGTATCCGAGATTAGAAATAGTGTGTCCCAAATCGTAGTGTGTTGAAACGACTAACCCAAAGGTAACCGGATGGTCTACTTTTCCTGTAGATTTTTGAAGTGTGGAACGAAAAGTGTGGACAATTTTTTCAGTTAATATAATATTGAAACT